GTTGGAAGAGTCCGCGGCTTGTGGTTAAGTTATTTTATCTTCTCGTTCATGTTTTCTTCCATCTTCTTCCCCTCCACCACAAGAAAATCCCTTCCAAAACCCTTGTTGCCGCCGCCCCCTTGGAAGCCCGCCACCGGCCACTCCCACGGCCCCGGTCGGCCACCTTGCCGGCGACTTTCCCCACCCGTCCAATCTCTCCTTCCGCAAGTTTCAAATTTGAAATTTGAATTTCAAATTTCAAATTTTTTCCTAATTTGGATTTCCAATTTAGGAAAGTTTTCATGATGAATTCCAATTTCAATTTAATTTAAATTGGTGTCTTTAAACATATTTCCACATCATCGCTCCAAATTGGAAACCCTCTTCCCACCAATCCCCTCTCCCCCTCTCAACATGCCGCCGGCCCCCCTTGAGGGATTCTCCCCATTAATTGTTTGTTTAATGCCTATCCGATTTGAAATTAGAATTTGATTTCAAAGTTTTTTCCCTCCCAATTTACTTAAAATTGAAATTAAATTTCAGTTTTAAGTTTTAAACCCCCTCCCTCTCTCTATAAGCCGCCGGCCCCCCTCCTTGGCTTCCCCTCATTAACCCCATTAAATGCCTTAATTGCTTGACTTGAAATTTAAAATTAAAATCGATTTTCCCTCCAAACTTAATCAAATCTGAAATTAAACTCAGATTTTGATTAAATCTCTAAAGCCATCCACCCAAACCTAATTTCCCCTAACCCTAACCCTCTCACCCTTGAACCCGTCGGCCCCCTCCCTTTTCCCCTTGGAGATCCCGCCGCCCCTCTCGTCTTCCCCTTCTTTATTTGCCGTCTACAAGTGCTCTCTCTCACCACTACTTATTTCTTCCTCTTCCCCTTGTTTCCAACGGTGCTCCTTCATCTCCCGACAAGGATGCATGGCGGAACCCGAATGGAACTTTGGATTTGTGTATGACGATCGAGATCAAGTCGACATCCACCAATCGCCGTTCTTTGACGTGGGCTTTGATTTCGACGTCACCGTTGAAGACTACATCGACCGTATCCAATACGCCTTAGTTGACGTGATCGACGAGCAAAGATCAAAGGGACACTGGATCATCATTGGATGACCATCTTTCTCCACCACGCCGGCCCTCTTTCCAAGAACGACGATCTTAGGTTTCTTCTTCCTCGGAGTGACCTCGATTCTAATGTGGAGACTCTTCTGCCGCTAAAGCCTAGACTATTTGAGCATGTGGGCTCCAAAGGTGAAAGCTCTCATTATTAAATTGTGGATTGTTGGTTAATAGCTCTTAGTATTGCTACTATTTTTTCTTATTTACTAGGTTTGGTTAATCTACATGTGCTCATTCGCCTAAGCAAGTGGAAAACTAAGATTCTTTAATGAATTGGCTTGTTATTTCAATGAGTTATTAATTGAGATTACATTGTCAATTATTCTTAAATTTCTTATCAAACTCCTTTTGCATGTGGTTTCACATCAAATTCTCCCTTAATGGCTTTTGTACATGCAATTCAATTGCTAAGAATGTTGAGCTGGGCCAAGCCCTCTTATTTTCTTGAAGAAAAATTTTTAGGTCAATACTTTCCCTGCAGTCCTCTTTGTAGGGTTTTAGTTTAATTGGCGCAGTGTGATGAAACTTGCCTTAACTTAAATAAATAACCAAACTCTGATTCCAAATTGTCGCGTATTTTCCACCAGAAACCAAATTCTCCTCTATGCTAATGGGTTCGAATCATCTATTCTATATGACGTCCCGTATTGTCCTGTATTTTCCACCTCTACCAATCTATTCTTAAATTTCTATCAATTTGTTTTTATCAAATTAACATTTTATTAAAATAATTTACATGCATCTATTCTCTATGGCGTCATGCTCAATTTGTGCTAGCACTGGACATTGGACAGTCATGCCACTTTGTGGAAAATATGTTAGCTTATTTAATTATGGCCCGCATAATACTTGGAGTAATCCTTTTCGAAAGGTGATTGATTGATTATGAATCTAGATGACATAATTATGATAATGGTGGTGCTTCTCGTTGAAGCCTTTAGTTGTCATTGATATAGGAGTTCTTTGCAGCTTGAATGTACTGCGTATTTATAGGTTTCATTTTTAAATTGATGAAGGATGTTGAGTAAATACTGTATATCTTAACGTTGGTGTATGTCAATCTCTATTTTCTTCGGCTTTCGGAGTGAAATAGAAACTTAAGATTATATGTGAATGGTATGCGATCAGATATAAATGAGAACAAAAACCTGTAAAGGGGTTATATACTTTCTGATACTGAAGAAGATGTAGGATATAGGTTAAACCGTTAATGCTTAAGATCTTCTGTAGAACAAGTGTAGGCGAAGGGAGATGTAATTTATATACTTATGTTGGGTTCTTTGTTTCCCCTTTTTCTTTCGCAATTGCTGCAAGTTGTTTGTCTTAACAGACCCACTTTTCATTCATTCTGTTGTCATTTATGTTTCCTTTTTCAAAATGCTTTGGGTGCTTTTTATGTAAAATCCATAGAATTATAAAAAATTATTCCTGCCTTGTTTTTTATTCATTCAGCTTTGATAAAATTTGATGTCCTTGCATTGCTCTTCACTAGCATGTTGTTTGGCTCTGTTAAATAAAGCACATTGTAGTATTTTTCTGATGTCTTATGAAATATTGAATGTATTTTAACTTCTCATATTTATTCTTGTAGCATTCTTTCAGCAGATTTTGTTCGAGCAGCAATACATGATGTCAAAGCTGTAGATTCTTTTATATTGTCAAAAATAAAAGCAACTTCATCTGGCATCATGAATGGTTTAGAAGACGAGGTAGGCAGTTATATTGTTCTAAGCCATCACTTTCTTTTTTTATCTGGTCTAAAACCATTTCTGTGCGTTATATTTTTATCTCCAACCATGTGCAGTTTTACTTGAGCGTGCATGCTCAACTGTTGTCCTGTGTGCTACTATATGTGTTTCCATGTGGCATGTGTACACGATCCTGTATTTATATGCATCTACACCTTCCTTAAAAAAACAACCCATATTCTTCCTTCTGAAATTTTAGAATGTGAATATGTTTTCGTCTTAATACTTGCTTATCTGGAAATGTTTCTAATTTGTGCTAATGACCAAAAAATTTCTATGCATTGGCGTGAAACCAAATATGTAAGACAAATATTTTTTTTGCATTTATTTAAAGCACTGCAGTTACTGCTCTTTTTCTTCATTATACATTTCTGTAAATCAGAATATGTATTTAGGGGACCAGCTTTGCGGGTACCAGAAGTGCTATAAAAATGCTGTGGTGGTTGAGTAGTTTGCTTGGCCTGCTATTTTTTATTTTTTTTTCGAGAAAACCTGGTGTAAGGATTCTTTTAGCACGGTTGTTTGACTGCACTTTTTTTTTTTTGCCATTCCACGTTTGACCTTTTTATCTTTTAGAACTGCAGCTGTTCTAAATAGAGGATGGCCAAACATTTTGAAGAATAATAATAGTTTTATGAAAGTTTGAAGTTTAATGAAAGTTTTTAAAATACTATTCATCAAGAGAGAAGTTATGTCACTCTTTCTTATTCTCCATTTTTGGTCCGTTAAGATGTTGGAAAGTATTTTTTGAAAGTTGTTGTTGGTATTATGATATTTTTTTTTCTTATGAGTAAGTTAGACTATGTTTTTCTACTGCTACTTCACTTTAGCAGATCTAGTTATTAAAAATTGCTCCTCAATATGCTAATTTTTCTAGTTATAAAATTTTGCTTCTCACCATGCAAATTTCTTAAAAAGCAGCGAAAAACTTCTAGCTAAATAGAATTGTGATATCTGTCTAAAAAGCATGACTATGAATAAGTTGTGCAAATGGAACCTTTATGTCCAAGATCTACTGCCTATCGTGGAGAAGATTATCGTAATAGACTGAAGAGTTCCCGGCCTATAAAGGATGTGGTGGTAGAAATGGTGCAATTTGTTTGAAATTTAATGTATAAATGGTCATTTTAGTATTTATTCACTATTTTTACTATGTTCCTGGAAAGCTTTAAAAGGTAATTTTGATGCCTTTGGGGGTCAATTTTGTCAAGTAGATGGAGAGATGGAGAGGAGAAATTTCACACACACAACTTGGAGTGATAAACATACACAATTTGGATCTATGTAGCACTCGATTGGCCTTGCAAATAATCAAATTTCATTCATCAATGTTAAGTAATGAGTCCTATTTATAGATAAAGGAATATATGGTTAAGGCTAAAATTTGAATCAATCGACTCTTATCTTGAGAGCAAGTCAAATTCTATCTAAACATTCAAAACTAATTCTATCTAAAGAGTGCAGGCTCCAAAACGTTTAGCTTGATTATTCTGAGAGAGCTTTTATTTTGGGTCAAATTTTTTAAAAAGCATAATAAATTATGGATAAGACATTGTCCAGATATTTCACCCTCATTTTATGGGGACTTTATGATTTGATTCTTAGTTTCTAATAGGTGCACGCCCCTATAATTAATTAATTCACCCGATGATGAAGGAGAATTTTGATTAAGATTAATTGATAAGTAGTAAGTGTTTTAGGATATAGTAGTAGTAATTTGGGCTTTCAAATTGAGAGAAATTTATAATTGTTTGTTTAAAGTGGATGGTGAGAGGAATGATGATGAATCCAATCAAAATCTCATTGTTGTATGGTCCAGCGTTATCATGGACTTTAGTCTACCTAGTAAGTGATGGTTGTTAACCCAACTTGATCGAAGGATTTTTGTTAGCATCCATGAGTTGTGTTGTCTAAGGATATTTTTAGACATGGAGTGGCTGTTAGTTTAAGGAGATAATTTAAGTCAACCTTAGGTAATAGAGAGCTTTATATCCCATCAAGTGCACCATTTGATTCGGAACTCATGGGGGCTGGAGCTATTAGGAAAAAAAATATGTTCTTGTTGTGATCATAATTTAATGATATTATTTTGCTGTAAAATTAACTGGTAAGATGGCTTCAATCATAACCATCATTTAGTGGTGCATTTGGTGGCAAAAGCACCCTATTAGATGACATGTGCAACATTCTCATTAGGAAAAGATTATTTGAGAGTGAAGATAGTGATACATTTGATATGACACTAGTTTTTTATGAGTTGAGGTTAATTTCAAAATTATCTTCATCTACAAATTGGTTGTAGAGGTTGGATGGTTGTTGGCTTTTAGCTTTAAATGGTATATTTTACTTGAATGTTTTAGCGATTTATAATTTTTCTTAGATTTTATATTTTTTGTTTTTGAGATCAAAGTTTGGAATGATTTGTGTTTGGATTTGGAAGCATTTTGAGAATAATATTCTCCTCTAATTGATTTTCTCAGCTAATAACGCCATGATTGGTGTTTTTGAATGATTACATTTAATTATATTGGACCTTAAATATTTTCCTCGTTTTCTTAAAGACGATTGAGTCTGAGAGCTTGCATTTAGAAATGAATTTTCATTATTAAAAGGGATGAAGGCCTTATGCAAACACAACATAAAACATCTTTTAGTGAGTTCCATGGTCGAACATTTAGTTCTTAGTCAAAATCACTTTTTGAGACCAATTTGATTGATTGAAGTCTCCATGGTGAGGAGGATTAGATTTTAAATATGAGAGTTAGAATCTAGATAAGGTGGCCTGTTGGCGAGCAAGTTTAGATTGATGAATTTGATTTTTTTTTAAATAATTACAAAGCTTACTAAATAGTTGCATTCTTGAAGAAGTTAAATATAAGTTCATTATTACTTACAATTTATATAGCATTCTTAGACTTTGTATTTAAGTGTTTAGTGTATTTATCAGAGCACATGCAAATATTTGACTTTTGGTAATTTGTTATGCTTATAAATGGCATATACATGATACTTTTAAAATTTATGGTGATTCTTTTGTATTGTATGCTTATTGGAGAGGTTGTATGTTTTTAAGAGTAGTTATAAGTTTCTCAAGATTGTTACATGCTTCGCAAGATAGTTGGATGCTCCTCGAGACAATTGGAGTTGAGTTGAGGTGATTGTATGCATGTTGGTGGATTTGATATTCGAAAAGAGTTTGAGAAATTTCAAATTGATTTCATACTTTTTCTGAGTGAGGCGAAGTTGAGTTTGCCTTGATTGTTAGCGCGAACATCATTCTAAAATCTATATTTAGATACTAGCACATTTATCATAGTACATACATGTGTTTTGACTTTGAGCAATTTGATTTATCTCTTGAATGACACTAATGCTTTTTGGTGCATTAACACAATGCACTTACACGCTATACACTTGCATGATGCACTTAAACGCTTTTCGATGTATGTGTATGGTGGACTTAAATGATTTTCATTATCGCATTTACATGATTTACAATGCACTTAGCATGTGTTGCTTGTGCATGGTTGTCTGCATGTCTTTGGAAACTATCATACTATTGTGCCATACTTTTGTTTTTGTTTAAGAAAAATGAAGTCCATCTTTCAATTCCTGCATTGCGTCGTGGTACTCACGGTTTCAAATATCTGACACATTTCCTTTTATTTTTTTCAATCTTCAATGAGCTTCTCTATCATTTTTCCTGTGGTTTTAACATTCATCTTGCCCAGTCCTTTGAAATTAGAATTTGTTCCAAAGTATTACTGAATTGTTTTTATTGCGCGTATGTAGTTTATTCTTTTGTATTTGTTTAACGATTAATTATCATACTTATCTGCAGGTAAAAAGTAATGATGATGAACGCTTGGTTCTCCGTGATCATCTTCTTCCTCTAATTTTTGGACTACTTCGAACAGTTCAGTTCCATTTCTATCACTTTTTCAATTGTGCTCCTCCAACTGAAAATACCATTGCTGGATTCACTTCAATCATAAATTGTATATATCCATCTGCCAGATGTGTTCAAGGAAACCAATTTAAGACCCTTATATGGATGCACATATGATTGTTGCTAACTTGGCATTTGTTTTGGATATATTAATTTTCTAAGCTGGGGAGACCATCTAATGATAATCAGATAAATTATTTTAGTTTGGTTTAATATTTTATAAGTCATTTTTGTAAATTGAGAAAAGGATCAAAATGATTCTTCAACTCTTTTTGAGGGATCAAAATGGTTCCCAACTCTTTTGACCCTCAACTTTATAAATGGGACATTTTTGGTCATAACATCTAATGTTATAGTTAATGGTGTTAAATGTAAGGGTATTTTAATTATTTTTTAATTAAATATTTATTAAATGTAATTATCAAGTAATTATAATTTTTCAAATGAATTTTATTAAATGTTTCTTTAATTAGAACTAATAATAATTTTAGTTTTTATTTCAAAAAATTTAGTCATATTTTATAAAATATGATTGGTAAGAATATGTATGATTAAGTTGAAAATAATATCTATTTGCATTTGATTTCTTTAAATCAATAAATATCATAGTTTATAAAATATGATTATAAAATTTGAAATTAAAACTAAAATTATTATCAATTTTTAATTAAAGAAATGTTTAATAAATTTTTTTAGAAAAATTATAATTATTGAAATTACATTTAATAAATGTTTAGTTGACCCCACGTAGTGGGACAAAGGCTTGATGTTGTTGTTGTTGTTGTTGTAAATGTTTAATTAAAAAATGATCAAAATAACATTATATTTAGCACCATTTAACTCCAACATTGGATGTTAGGATCAAAAAGTCTTCTTTTAAAGAGTTGAGGGACCAAATTGGTCACTCAAAAGAGTTGGAGACTATTTTGGTCCTCACAAAGAGTTGAAAGATCATTTTGATCATTCTCTTTGTAAATTGCACCTAATTATGAAAGACACATCAAAGCTGCGATATCAGAGATGAAAACCATCTTTTATGCTTTTCCTTGGCTCAGAAATTCATAAGTAACTTGGTTTGTAATTTGGTTCTCCATTGAAGAATGTTTATTCACTGCATGTATTTTTAGTCATTGCTATAGAAATTCACTTCTGTTGCCATTCTTGGTGCTTTATTTGAGGCATGTTAAATTCTATCACTTTAATTTTGTCGTATCATATTCACATGTTCATTTGCAGGCCAAGCTTCCCGCTGTTTTGAGGATCTACCGAGACACTCTTATTACTGAAATGAAGGCTGCAATCAAAAGTACTGTTGCACAGCTGCTTCCTCTTTTGTTATCTCGGGATCCTGATATGGTACCTGGTGAACGAACAACGGACTCAGATAGTATGTTTTTTTTGCTATATTCAATAGTTTTTCTCTTTATTGAATGGCTAGCTCTCTGCTAAATTTGTTATCTGTTCTGTGTCCCCATATTTTGCCCTTCCAATAATTGTGTAGGTGGAGGTTTATCTCTTGCTAGCAAACTTAGAAGCCTTTCATCTGAAAGCTTTGTTCAACTTTTAATTGCTATTTTCAAGGTTGTCCAGGTAAGAGACTTATTGTCTGTTATCTTTCCACCATCTGCCTCTCAATTTCTTTTTTATTTTTTGCTATCAGGAGCACATTACTGCAACGAAACTTGCAAACTAATTATGAGTAGCAATTTTAAAAGAATTTTGCACGTGTGCCATTTAACTTGTGCTGCTGTAATAAGAGCATAAGCTCTGCACATTTCTTTTTTATGGCATCTCTTTACATGTATGATGTTGTTTAATGTTTCTTAATCTCTTTTTTATTCCAGGATCAGTTCAACTTGTTTGAACTAGGTTTTTTTTAGTGCCGTTTTTTGTATTTCTTTTTTTAAGGGTTTGACATTGTTTTTCAATTGTTTGGAAGGATGGACTGTGTCCATTGATCTTAATAATGATTGGTAATTTTGGCTATTCCTAACAATGTCGTCTTTTTGGTCATCTTAATAACATGCCATGTAAATACCTACATAATACATTTTCTTTTTGGTAGGTACGTTTCACCTTTTTTTTGTTTGGTCTTCTACTTGGTCATGCTTCTTCTATACTATTTATTTATCCGTGTGCTATGGATTTATAAGGCTTTGATAAATCAAATTTGTTAAGCTAGTTCCTAATTTTCTAAATGTTCCATCGTGAACATTTGATTTCATTATTTCTCTTTCATCTATTTAATAGCTGTAATGTCATTTATCATTGTTAGTGAATACAGGCACATTTAATGCGAGCTGCAGAAGTTAAAAATGTTATCGAGTTTATGATGGACAATCTTGAAAGTTATGATAGTGATTCTGCGATGGCAATGGTCACCCATGGTTCATCCGCTGTTGATGTTGCCACTGAAAATGAGAATCAGTCTCTTTCACATTTTCTGCATTTTCTTCCAAAGAATGCACAAAGAAATCTCTTGTTCCAAGCAAAACTAAATGATACATCCAGCCCTGTCACCTCAAAGAACTTTCGGTGAGCCCTTGTATTTACACTGTATGGTCGATAGAAGCTACTATTTGGTAACTGCACAGTGCTATGTTTTGAACTTATTTAGCATCAATAAGATTTGCTTTTGAAAATTTCACTATTCTTCAACAATCTGTATGCATCAATGCTGAACATGACAGCCTTTCTTAGTGTTTTGCATGTAAAATGATGGGCAAAATCCTGAATTTTTTTTTTCGCTGATAATTTTTATGAAAGCTCAACTTTTAAAGGCTTTGTTTATTGATGAGTGATATGCTTCAACTGAGATATTCATATATGCACTAAACTTTTATTATTGGGTATTCCTTAAAAGAAACCCTAAATCGAGTTACTTCAGTTACTCTCAAATTTGTTACGCAGTTTTATTATTTATTTATGAGATTAAAATTTGATTAATAAGCATAAGGATGCAATCCACATTAAGATATTATGCATTTCACCTTCATTTGCTCATAAACTGAACCTATGAATTGGGATTGGCTAATTAACTTCTTAGAATTGTTTCTTGATTAATTTTTTTTTTTTAACTTTACTGGCGAAGAACTTCGATTTTGAAGATTACATTGTTCCTAGATCTGTTCTATACAGCTGATACCCGGGCACTTGTGTCCATCCAATGTCTCCTCCTTATGCTTAAGCTGTTCAGAAGCCATCTCATAAATTAGTCTAGTTTAATTTTTTCGTGGTTGATGATATTATAACTGCCTGGAGGTTTTGCTCTTACAGGAGATGTGGTGGAAGCAAACAAAACCGTGCTGATTCTAGCAGGATTAAGCTAAATTTCTAAGGTTTGTGATGTAGCAAAAAATCTCTAGAATGACAGAAAGCAAGTTGCGAGCAAAAAAGCTTTCAAGAACATCAGGAAGCGTAGGAATAAATCTTTTATTTTAATTTAGAAGAGCTTTCTTAGTTATTTTATACTGTGTTTACTTATTCCTCCTTTAAATAATCTCTTTAGGCTTTTAGATTCTCTTTTTCTATGTTTTGTTAAACTTTAGTGTTTTTTTTGAAGTGTTAGGAGTTGTTTTAGCTTTAGTTGATGTAGGTTTGTTTTGATTAAGATGATGTGGTCTGGGTTCAAATAAGGAAAATCAGCTCTGAAGAAATTCGTATGAACTTCAACTCAAACTCAACCTGTAATGTCAAGGGCTGCATTTGGATTGCAAAATCAGCTCTCAAGAAATTTACAAGTTGCCATCAGCTTATTACATGAGAAACTTTTTTGAAAAGATGATAGAACTTGGACGATGGATTAAGTTATTCTACAAGTCTAATTGAGGCAAGAAGAGAATCACCAACGTTTTCGGAAGAAAACTGATCAAAAATGCAAGTTTCATATCCAAGGAGTGTCACGATCCGGCCCGGTTAGCTCGTATATACGAGGTGGGAACGAAATCAGACATTTAGATCAAACTCTATTCATCTTTCATATAAATTCTAAAGACATTCAAGAAAAAAAAAAAAAAAACGCCTCTAAACTTTTTATTTCCATTCCTCAGGTTGTTCACAATTTACAAGATGACAACTTATATCTAATCATGCTCCGCATACCATCCAAAAATAAAGTAAGGAACTACAACTAATGAAAACAGTAAAAGAACCTGTCACCCGGTACGCGTCGACTGTATGTAAACCTCGGGTGTTCGGCCATCACTTAACAGTAGGTTCTCCTAAAAAATTCCCAAAACTAGGGGGGTGAGCTATGCTCAGTAATTGACAATTACAGTTAAAGTTCATGTACATTTGAAAGAAAAGAACTTGTGGATTAATAACCTACAAATGTTCTAATAGATGTCTTAAGGCATGTCTTGAAGCAAGTATTAACTTGACTATGTATTGAACATGATATGAGTTATGTTTGTCTAACATGAGATAACATGAAATATGATTTCTTAACATAAGATATAATTGCATATGTTTATCTTTCTATTCATATTGCATACATTCTTCCCGGAGTACCGAATTGTATTGATCAGGTACACATCTTTATTGGCCTTATCCTTTTCCTTTCTTTCCATCTTGCCTCAAAGGCCGTTTTTGCTCAAAGAGCCACATCTTGGTACTCCGTCATCAACAATCACAAGCTATGCATTTCATATATTCATATATCATAAGTATGATTAAGTATGAAAATGATAAGAAGATGCTCATGCTCATAATTTCATATGATATGCTAAGAAATTTTAACACAAAGTCAAACCACTAAGTAACCATTGAACATGAATATGATATAAGAACTTTGAACAATAATTTTTTTATTTTCTTTGCAACCAATAACATAAAGCAATATATATATAACGAAATGAATACTTTCCCTAGCAAGTAAAGTCACTTACACTTAAAATGCCTTGCTTTCAAAATTTCCCGCACAAGTCGTCACCTTTCCCTTATTCCAGCCTAAGGGATTTTTTTTTTCAATTTCTATTACTTACATTTAAATCTCTAACATTTTAATTTTATTTTAAAAAATAATTATTATTTTCGGATTTACTATAATTCCCAAAATTTTGACTTTCACATTTTTCTAATTCCGTCCCTTAAGCATGCCAAAATCTCCCATTCATCTAATTGATAAATAATATTAACAAATTTTCGAATTTATATTAAAAAAAAATTAGGAAAAATAATTTTCTCTCAAATTTCTCAATTAGAGGTTTCCCTAAGCCCTTAGGAACACATTTAGGGAACATGTAACCTACAAAAGCTAAGTTTGGAAAAACCCTAAACTTTATCTAATTTTTTCATTCAAATTCGCTTAATAAAAAATTACATTTTTGATACTAAAAGTCTTCCCTTAAGCTCTTCTAGTTATTCCCATAAACATTTCATCAAAAAGAGAAACCCTAAATTTTGGATTTAGTGTTTTTATTTAAAAAAATTTAACATGTAGGGTAGGAAAACTTAGATCAAAGCAAACCCTAAAGGTTTCCTAAAGAAATTTCTAAAAAAACACAAACCCTAATATTTTTTCTATGCAAAAACTCAAGAAAACTTCCATATCTTTAAGAAAAACTTACCCCCAAGTCTTCCTCTAGGCTTTAACACTCTATGCAGTACTTCTCTAATGTCATATGAAGGGTAAAATGGGTATAAAAGGCCAAAATTTACTTAACGCACTTCGGCGAATTTTAATTCCTAAACCGTGCGAAATTAACTACAAGTTCTATATACCGTTTCGATCAAAATTTCGTGACGAATTTAATAAAATTTATTTCGTCAAATTCCGACGACATCGAAATTTCACTTCAATTTGTCGCGGTGCATCGATATGCGTGCGACGCACTCAAATGACGAATTCCAGGTTTTACAATCCTCCCCTCCTAATAAAAAATTCGTCCACGAAATTTAAAAGAAAGGAAGAACAAACAATCATACCTTACGCAAAAGAGATGAGGATAGCACTTCCTCATTTCTGACTCTTTTTCCCACGTGGCATTCTTTTCCAATCCATGCTTCCATAGTACTTTAACGAACGGTATCTCCCTGCTTCTAAGTTGCTTCACACTATACTCCAGAATACGATCCGGTTCTTCAACATATGTAAGATCTGGCTGTAAGTCCACATCTTCCGATATGATCTTAGAAGGATTATCCGATAAATACTTCCTCAGTGAAGAAACATGGAACATATTATGGACAGCATAAGTAGTGGGTAAAGCTAATCTGTAGGCCACCTTCCCAATCCTTTCTACTATCTCAAAAGGACCAATGAAGCGGGGGCTAAGTTTGCCAACCTTGCCAAAACGAAGTACACCATTCATAGGCCTAATCTTTATAAAAATAAAGTCTCCCACACTGAATTCCACAAAGCGGTGCTTAGTATCATAGTACTTGTTCTGCCTATCTTGAAATGCTAGCAACCTATCCCTGATCAATCTGATTTTGCTTGTGGCATCATCAACAAGATCTGATCCAATGACCTTCCTCTCACCTGTCTCTACCCAACAAAGAGGTGTTCTGCATTTCCTTCCATAGAGGGCTTCATAAGGCACCATTCCTATGCTGGCTTGAAAATTATTGTTGTAAGCAAACTCTATCGAAGAGATATGAGATTCCCAACCTCCACCAAAATTAAGAATACACAATCTCAATAAGTCTTCAAGAGGTTGAATAGTCCTCTCTGTTTGTCCATCAGTCAGAGGATGAAAGGCTGTACTGAATGTCAATTTAGTGCCCATAGCCTCTTGTACTTTCCTCCAAACTCTAGAAGTAAATCTACCATCTCGGTCAGATACTATGGACTTAGGCACGCCGTGCAATTGTACAATCTCAGCCACATACAACATTGCGAGCTTCTCAACTGAATCAGTCAATCGGATAGGCAAAAAGTGAGCAGACTTTGTAAGCCTATCAATGACAACCCAAATAGCATCATGACCCTGTCGTGATCGGGGTAAACCTGACACGAAATCCGTAGCGATATCATCCCACTTCCACTCTGTAATTGGTAAGGGTTGAAGTAATCTACTTGGCCTTTGATGTTCAGCCTTTACCAACTGACATGCAGTGCACTTAGCAACAAAATCAGCTACACTCCCTCTTCATTCCGGGCCACCAAAATAGACCCTTAAGGTCTTGATACATCTTATTACTACCAGGGTGGATAGTATAAGCAGAGTAATGAGCTTCAAATAGAACATCCTTCCTCAAATCATCAACATTTGGTACACAGACCTTGCCTTTATACCAAAGGAGATTGTCCTCATCAAGGATAAAATCCTCCTCATGTCCAGCCTTTACTAATTGTATGATCTTCACAAAATCTAGATCTTTCCATAAAGCTTCAGCTATCCTACTCTTCAAATCAGCTGGCACAGTCAAATGACTCAACCATCATACATTGCTAGTTGTAGGAAGTACCACTTATAACTCTAACCTATCCGTTCCTTTGATACTTGATTGGGAGGCCATCAGAGAAGAAAGTGTTAGAGATGAGAATTTGGGAAAGATCAGGACTGAGTTACTGAAGGAATCAGGTAGCCACC